ATCTCTGAATTCCCTCCTTTTCCCTTCTGTGTTAATTCCTGGAGAAGAGGAGGCTCAGGGAGGACCTTATCACTCCCTACAACTACCTCAAAGGAGGTTATAGCCAGGTGGGGCTTGGCCTCTTCTCCCAGGCAGCCTCCAACAGGACAAGAAGACATAGTCTTTAAGCTGCACCAGGGGAGGTTGAGGTTGGACAATAGGAAGAAATTCTTTACAGAAAGGATGATTAGACATTGGAATGGGCTGCCCAGGGTGGTTGTGGAGTCACCATCCCTGGAGGTGTATAAGGAAAGACTGGACGTGGCAGTCAGTGCCATGGTCAATTTGACGTGGTGGTGTTCAGTCCAAGGTTGGACTCTGATCTCAGAGGACTTTTCCAATCTAATTGATTCTGTGATTCTGTAATTCCTTCATGGTTCATTCTTACTGTTTCTCAAGTTGGAGAAAAAGGCTTTGCTGATATTTGGATATAAATCCATAGGCAGACTTTGGCAATTATATGTGTAGCTCCTCCTGGAATCAAGTGCTTTTAACGCTCTGAAACCTGAATGCACTCAAGTGTGGAGGTACTGGTGTTCTCCTTACCTGGAACTTCTGTGGCCAATGCCATCTCCTTGTGAGATGGGCAGCCTGTTGTCCATATCTGGAGGTTTTAAACACAGGTCGTGGCTTCCCGTCAGGCTGCAGATGGCTCAGTGTAGGGATACACTTTGTTCCCCTGGTGCAGGAAATGTCTTCATAAATAGAAATTCCTTTAGGATTTGTTTCTGAATTTTCCTCCTTGAAACAAGAGACCCATATTTGAGTGCTCAAACTTTGCTGTTTACCTACAATTTGATGTACCTTGAATAAATTTATCTGAAAACTCTGGGTTTGTCTATTTTCATCCCACACACAGATTGATGTGTGTATGTGGATGCCTTTTCAAGGGTGCAAAAACATATTGTCTCCCAGCATTCAATGGCAAATGCCATTTTAGGTTGCAAATCAAAACAGAAAGAGCAGTGTTAACTTCTTTTTTTGGTGCATTGCCAGCGAGGGTTCTGCATCAGCATTTCATGGTCCAACATTTCCAACGTGTTTTTTCCTTTCCCCCCTTCCCCTATGTGTGAAATTTCAGCAGATTGTTATGCAAAACAGTTTTGTGTCTCAGTGTGACTGGGGAGACAGCTGTTCGGCCTAATGAGGAGTGCGAGCACCGCAGTATTTCTGGTGATTGAGACCCACGCAGGGAGCAGGATGTGCGAGGCCAGGCAGCGGTGTGTGGTGAGGAAGTGCCACGCTGTCAGCTGGAAGTACACGCTCGGCTGCTCCCTATGACAAGATAAATGAGTTTTGCTGGGGTTTGGCGGAGGCTGAGGCTTTTTTGGAGAATGGTTGTAGCACACCAAACTCCCTGTGGGACCCACAGTTTGAAGTGTCATAAGACTGCTTCCTCTTTGCCTGTTTTTTTTTTTGTTTTTTTTTGTTTTTTTTTTTTTAATGTCCTACAATACCTGTCATCTTTTTGAGTTATTAAAAACCTAATGTCTTCTAGCATTCAATTAACATGGGGTCTGGTGATCTTTTGTTGACACTTTTTATTAATTTAGTCAAGGGGATGTTAACCAGAGTTTTATCTGGGTTAAAACAAACTGAAGACTAATACAAACAGAAATTAAATGTAGCCATATGAAAATATAGGGAAAAGGCTTTTAATTTTTGTGATATGGATGGGGTTAGGGAGGCAATACTTTTGAAAGGTTATTTGTGTATTGGCAGCTCTGTAACTTCTTTCTTCTCACACAGACTTTGCTTCCCTTTCCCCCTTTAGCTGAAGTCCTGTTTTAGTATATAAGTTGAAAGTGGCTTTTCTTCTTGTTGCTATTTTGTTTTAATTAAAACAAACAAAAAACCAAGAAAAAAAAATTGGTGAGATGCATCTATCTCACATTAAGAGATACCCCAGTTTGGAACAGCGGAGGACACAAAACACAATTTGTACCATGTAAGATTTGTGAGCTCAGCACTTGCTTGTTTTCTTAAGTCAGTAGTGTTGTGCATGTTTTTGAATTTACAGGTATGTGGTTTTTTAAATATGAACTCAATATGTTCCACTTTATTAAAAAAAAAAAAAACAAAAAAACACGAACAACAAACCAGCCAAAAAACCACTTGGTCTTTACTTGGATGACAATGAAGTGCTCATAACCCTCCCCAGAGTTCAGGTTTGTGAGAATGATACTGCTTTGGCCTTTCTAGACTTGTTGTTAAGTCACATAAAACTTGCAATCTTATTTTGAAAATGAGATATATTTGAGAATTGAATCAAGTGTATCTACAGGTTCCCCTAGAAGAGTCTTGTTTCATTTTGTTAAAAGCACAGTGTCTGGGAAGTGTTATGCAGACATCCATATACTGTTTGCTTTGGAACTGGGGCCAAAATCCCTGATCATAAACAGTAAAAATTGCAAAGCTCCATATGTGAAAGGCTGTTTCCATAGTTATGTGTGCTTGCAAATAGTGCACATCCCAGCCTGCAGTGCCTTACAGGGACAAACTGAGGGTGGACAGAGGGCTAAGACCACTAAACACCTTTAAAGTTGCCAGTGAAAACACACCAGCAGCCTTCCCTTTGCCTTTCTATCACTTTCTATCCCTGTTGCCAGAGAGCTACAGCAGAAATGAATTGCATTTTTATTTTACAAACTTTTTCTTTGTGTATGCAGTAATATCTGAATGGATAAGCTGAAAACAGTACAGAGAAGGATTTTGTTATCTTTTGAGAGTCTTCATTTTACAGGAGCAGGAAGGGCTGAACTAACCTAGGGCTGACATTCTGTTCTTGTGGCAATAGTTCTGAGTGTTTTCATTTTAAAAATTATAAATCTAAGGATTAGAGAACTTTATGTAGTCAAAGAAACTTAACTGTGTTTGAAAGTGATAAGTGATAAAGGAGAAGCAATATGAGATCAAAGAAGCTGGAAAGCTGTTTAAAGTTTTGTAAAAGAAAGCACACAGAATCGGAGGGTTATTTTAAGACAGTTTCACAACATATTCCAGCTGTAATTGGAATAAAATGTACGATGGGAAAACAGATCAGATGTGTTTGTTGGCAGCACAATGCTAAAGCACAGTATATTCACTCACCTGGAGAATTTTGTATGACATGAATTCCTTATACTGTTGTGTAGAGGGAAGTCTCCCAATGTGTGTGCAAATTATGGAGATTGAATAGAGAATTTTAAGCTTAAGAACAGTGTTTCAAATGTGTTGCAGCATTATAGAGTTAAGGGAAAGCTTGAAATATTTTTCTGAGGTATTTTGCAGCTTGTGTAAAGAACTAGTGAGAAGAGAAATGCAGATGTTGGTAAGTTTAAAGGAGGTTGGGCTGGTAGAAGACAAGTTTGGTGCTAAGAAATGCCAACTGTGTTGTGCAGTAACTCGAACTACATGAATGAGTTTTCTTTCCAAATGCAAAGGTGCCTTATGAAAGAGATTTAGTAGTTGTAGCCTTCATGTATGTTTTAACTTTTTGACTTTTGGCTCATAAAGTACAGAAGATTAGTCAGAGACCTCTTGGTTCTTATTGTAATCATCTCCCTGGTAGCCTAGCTGCACTCTAATAATGCATTAGGAAACTTGGTATCATGAATAAAGTGGGCCTTCATCCTAATTAAATCTTAATTTGGTGTCAATTTAAATTAAGAGGCTTGCATAAACTGGTCCATTGTGACCTGGCTTGTGCTAATCTCGATCAGCAGCTTGAGTAGGACATGAATTCAAATTTCTGCAGAACAACAAAAGTGACAGTAACAACTGACAACTTAAATTAAAATTACTAAATTCTAAGAAATTGACGTGCGTGACCCAAGTTACAAGATAGGTCATTAAATCAAATTCGTAGAAACAGAGTTGAGATGCCTTCCCTAATGATTGTAGGGAGAGACAGAAGTGCTTTGTTAGTACATTATGTGGGCAGAAAATAACTGGTTATGGGTTGGGAACTCACACAATTACCACGAAAATAGTAGTACAAAAGCTTTTAATTGGTTAATATGAAGTAAAGGTAAAAGATTAAAATAACCCACCATAGACTAATCATGAAAACTGTTCATTTGAGCCTACTGTCTTCTGAAAATATAAAATACAAGGATAATAACATTCTAAAATAAAATTAATTATAAAATCTCTTCTGGAAGTAGTATTTTGGACTTTCAGTTGCTACAAATATTCTCAAGAGTCTTTCTGTCACTCCTCTTTTGCATTTATAGACATAATGGGTAAAATTTGAAAGAACTGTATGGTTGTGCTTCTTACTACTCTTTGCCGTTTTTTTATCCGACTCTCAGACTTACCTGCTTGTAAAACAGGAATAGAAATCACAGTTAGAAATTGTTAGATTGCTGTAGCTATTGGCAGTGGAGTTTTACTGGGGGCTCTGTGTGTGGATTACAGCATGTTTATGTGTGTGTACAAAATAGCTTTAGGTACACCTCAGGTAGGTATTTGGGACCTCCTTGGTGTCTGTGCAGGGAGTGACAAATACCTGGAGTAGTTCTACCGAAGTCTTTGGATGGAAAGAAAAGAACTTGACTGCTGGTCTCAAGGCACTTAAGAGGAAGAATTGTACTCTGTGTTACTAATTCAGTTTGGGTTGTCTGATAACCCTACTGGACTTCAAAAGTGAATTAAGGTTTACATGTTTAGCTCATATCAGGATCAGTGTAATATGAAAGATGCCTCCAGAGTGAGTCTCTAGTGTTGGGCTGCTTCTCTTAGCGATCGGGACAGTCAAACCCTGTTTACCTTAAGTTCATAGCTTCTTGTAAGAATATTTTTTTAAAATTCAGAAATACCCACTTGGAGTTTTAATATTTCAGATTACTTTGTTTAAAAAAAAAAAAAAAAAGTCATGTTAAAGGAAGCACAGGAACAGAAACTACAATTTTTAAATCAGATGCTAGTTTAGCAAAGAACTTTAGAGCTTAATGTCTTTCTCTTTACTCCTGATTGTTTAGCACTGTGACATCTGCAGTTTTCACTGTGGGAGACAATGTTGTTTCTGGTAGTGATGACCGTACAGTAAAAGTCTGGGATTTGAAAAACATGAGGTCTCCTATTGCAACAATCCGTACAGATTCTGCAGTCAACAGGTAAGCAGACCTCTGAGTTACTGTTTTTCTTAATTCACCTTTTATTAATTAATTCTTCATTTCTTTCACCCGTAGGAGTGGTCCAGAACTGAGACACAGAGGTTTAGACTAGACAGTTTTTTTACAAAGAGGGTGGTCAAGTCCTGGAACAGACATCCTAGAGAGATGGTCGATGCCACAAGCCTACCAGTCTTGAAGAGGCATTTGGACAATATCCTTAATAACATGCTTTAAACTTTGGTCAGGTCTAAACTGATTAGGCAGTTGGAATAGATGATTGTTGCAGATACCTGCCAACTGAAATAGTCTATTTTATTAATTCACTGAATATACATTTAATTTTAGTCCCTAAGAATGTAAGAATTTTGTAAGAATTTGAGAAAGGTCTGCAATGGTTTTATAAAATGCACGTGTAGTCGGCATTAATTTTCAGTAAATACATAGCATTGTTTTTCTCAGATTTTTTTTATATGGGATGCAAATGTTAAGGCTGTTTGAGGATCTGGTACAATAGAAAATACCTTAACGGTTCAATATTTTTTTTCCTCTTTCCATTTGTGAATTCTAATCAGGAAAAATTCAGCTGCGTCCGTTCCCATGAGCTTAAATTTGCGCTGTCAAGTTCTATTTACCAGGCTCATTGTTTGGGGCATAACCTACTTTTGTCTCTTCTGTGCAGGATTAACGTATGTGTTGGCCAAAGAATCATCGCCCTTCCACATGACAACCGACAGGTCAGATTGTTCGACATGTCAGGAGTGCGATTAGCGCGGCTCCCCCGCAGTAACAGACAGGTAACCGGCTATTTATAGCCCTAAAGTACGCCTGCTCTTATTTCACACAAGGTTGAAAGCTGAACAAATGCTGAACAAAACTTGTCTAAATAAACGTGCTGCGGTTGGTTACTGAAAACAACTGACATGCAAACACGGAACATTTTGAACTTTTTTATTGGAATTGCAAATAATGTTTCAAGTGCATTTCATAATTTTTCTCCTTACTAAAGCAAAATAGAAGGCGTGTGTAAGAGTCTTTCAGATGTGTTTTAATGCCTTGATGTGATTTGTGTCAGGAAAGTGGCTCCCTATGAGATTTAACAGTGGTTTTCTTGTATTTGTGTGTTGGGTATTTTTCATTACACGGAGTTTAATTTGTTGTATATCCCAGGTAGGATGGGGCTTTGAGCAACCTTGTCTGGTGGAAAGTGTCCCTGCCCGTGCTAGATGGGTTGGAACTAGATGATCTGTAAGGTCCCTTACATTCTGTGATTTCACCATACAGAAACAGAAGGAAAAAGTGGGGGTCAGTTTTGTGAGCTCACCTCTTACAATTTGGTGATAAATTTTAATTTTTTTTTTCTTCTGTGCTTATGCACGTACATTCTTGATATTTAGTACCACATAATAAACAAGCTTTGCTGCACCCATCAGGCTTTGTGCATCTGTGGTGCTATTTAGCATGGCAAGCAACACTAATGGAGAAAATTTCACTAAGTGAAATTAATGGGATTATGCCACTTCAATAGATGTTTTTTGGATTGATTCAGCAGTTCTTGGCAGAATTGAGAAAGGAGCTTTAAGACTTATTTAGTCTATTTTAGAATTTTTCTGATTTAGGTTTTTTTTTAGTTCATTGTAGTCTTGAGGGGTTTTTTGTGTGTGTATGCATGTTTTTTTTTTTCCTTAGTAGTTCCATTCAGACTGACACTACTGAAACCGTGGCCAGTTTATTTATCTATTTATCTATCTATTTATTTATTTAATCTTTTAACTTACATGTTGGTCAGAATCCTATTTGGGACGCTTTTGTTACCATGAGCACTGGCAAGTTTGCCTTGCTGACGCAGAGGTCTCCAAGCGCCCTGTTGGTAACCTGCTGTCTCCCGGCTGTCGCAGGGGCACAGGAGGATGGTTTGCTGCTCCGCCTGGTGTGAGGACCATCCCATATGTAACCTCTTCACGTGCGGGTTTGATCGTCAGGCTATCGGGTGGAACATCAACATCCCTGCATTGCTACAAGAGAAATGAAATCCTGAAAGAGTTTCTGCGTTTGTGTCGCCATGGACTTCTACACTTTGGCAGGCTGCTCTCAACACTGGTCTGCTGTCGCCGTAAAAGCTCTTCCGTAAGGGGAGGCTCGAGCAAATGTTGTTCTTGTTACCACGTTGTGCACAGTTTGCATGAGTTGTACAGAAGATGTGATTTTTTAAAAATTAGTTTGTCTTGTGTATGAACTTTTATATTTTGGCATCCACTGGTCAATATGTTCACTGTTGCATAGAGCACATAAATGTTCATAAATTATTTAGCATTCAGTAGTTACACAGTAGGGCATTACATTTGTGACATAAATGTGAAACTTATGTAATTACTGTAGAGAGTGTATAGCAGTCTGTTATGTTTTTCCATGACTCTACATATCTGCCTTGTGTTAAAAAGAATCTGCAGGGCTAAAACTTTGAAATGAAGTGTGAATTTCACTAGTTGTATGATTGTAAACATTTTCCTGTTTGCATCTGATTTGGAATACTTTTTTTAGTGCTGCGTTATAGTGCAACTTCAACTCCATTTTTATTCTGGTTACTGGAGAAATAGTAGATTTGAGAAGGAAAATGCAAGCAACTTGTAATGAATATAGACTGCCAGGTTTATTTGTAATGATTTTTGTACTTTTTTTTTTGAAAAAAGAAAAATATTCATTCTGCCCTTCTTATATAAAGTGATTCTAAAACCTCATTACATTTCATACTAGCAAAAATCCAGAATATTATAATTCTAATCACTGAAATCTGGTCAAGCAAATTCTGAAGCACTTTAGTTTATAGCTATTGTTATAAACCATTTATGAAAGTTTGACTTTACCAGTGAATGTGAGCTGACCTTTGTAAGAAGGATTACTTCTTTTTGGTGATCTGCCCAGAAAGGAAATAGTTTTTTTTGGGGGTGGTGTTATTGTTTATGTACCTACAGTGAGCATATTTTCAATTGTGCTCACTTCCCATATTTTTATTTTGAGCCAGCAATACAAAGCAAATGAGTTCTACCTCAGAAATGAATGATGGTCAAGATGCGTCGAATCTCTCTGTAGCCTAGAAAAAAGCACTTTTGGTCTCTGCCTGAAGTACTGTCTCTGACAGGAGAGGAAAGACAATCATACTACATGTAATCCTTAAGGTAATTAACACTTAAAGCTAGTGGAGCAATACAGTCAGTAAACATCATCTGTTACCTTTCTGTTCTCAGCCACGACAAGGGCCCCTGTCCTGTTCCAGAAGGGGATAATTAACACAGGTCTCTCTTCTTTCTCCCAAATGATCTTACTCTGGTTTTGCTCCTCACTGTGCTTGGCTGTTTTTTGCACTGGCAGTGGGGTGCTACACTGCAGCTGCTGCTGATGTAAGTAAATGCAGTGGCAGCTGATGTCTTCAAAAGAACAGGAAGGCTGCTTCAGACAGACACCTCTCTTTGGCTAAAGGGAGATGCTGCCCCCATAACTGTCTGACATATCACAGTGTAAGATGAAGGGTGAGGGTAACCCAAAGGTGCACTCTTACAGTGGGAATCGTGGGGTTTATGGTGGGTTGGCAGAAGTGTTAGGGGCTTTTTATCTCATCATTATGGTTTTGTGAAACTATAGCTGTGCTCATGTCCTCTACTGTTATAATGACATGAAGACAGTTGTGTTAGCTGGTTCTCCTGTTACCTAACATATATATGGGCATGGGAGTGCAATGGGATTGGATGATGAATGCATCAGTGAGGAATTGTAGGAAAACAGGGGTCCTAGGCATATTTTGGAGTGTAGCATTAAGGAAGCTCAAAATATTTAATGGAGGATATATATGTAGTATCTTTATAGTACAGGTCCTCATAGTAATTTGATCCCTTTTTCTTTTGTGAGAGTTTTTTTTTCTTTTTTTTTTGATACAAGATGCATACACAGCTGTGCTGGAGTAATCTTAAATACCAAAACCAGTGAGGTTGCACAAAGCAGCTGCAGAGTTTTAAGTCTTCTGCTGATAAGAGTTAAATGATGGTGTCAAAGTTTATTTTCACTTTTTTTTTTTTTTTTTCCTTAAGAAGACTCACTTTCTTTTAGTTGGTGACAGGAAGAATTTTACAAAGGTTTATGCTGTTTAAAAAGAGAGAAAAATGTCTGGCCAGTTAAAGCAGTTTCTCCAGCATGGCCTGCATGTAGTGTCTTGAGCAATGGCTGTCCTTTATGACCTGAGGTGGGGGAGAGGGTCACTGGTTTTGGTCCTGCTAAACTAAAGTGTCTGTTTGAGCTTCTCTAATACATCTGTAATACAGGACCACTGGACTCTATGCAGTTTAATCATCATTGCTGCAAACTTTTTATATCACCAGAGGGACCATCCTCTGGCACCAGGAATGGGTTATTATGTTTCATTTTGAAAAAAATCAAGCAAACAAGGTGCTAGAGCCACGTTCTTACGAGCAGGCTAATACTTAAATCAGCTGAACACTTAACTATCACGTAGCTTAATTTTATATATTGTACTGAAGGGTGAGCAGAACTGCCATTCCCCTTGAAGCAAAATATATGAGCAGTGGTGAATAATACGACATTGACTTAAGATGTGGAAAGCATTTCATGGCTTTTAATGTTTTAAAGAGTGTTTCTCAGCACTGAACAATGTCCAACATTTCATAAAATGGAGGAAAGTTGCAGTTACAGTTTCAGTATTGTGCAGGATTTCACAGAAAACTCATCACTGGGCAAAACCAAGCTTCTGTGTCTTTCAAGCAGTGCACATCAGTTTTCACAAAGTTTGTGTATAATTTACAGTCATAAAGATCTGGAATGAAACATCTTATTTGTTGCCTAAGTCTGTGAAAACTACCTTTTGGGGAAAAGAATTTATAACTTATGTGGAACCACTTTTTATTATTCTGCTAATTTGTTTTTAGATGTAAAATGTTTCTCTTCATTACAATTCAAAATGCATTAAAACATTCAACAATTTTTTTTTGGAAGTTGCTCTTCTTCTGTTCTTCTTGCATTAAGGTTGATGTCAGTATTTCACTTCGTTAGTAGTCAGAGGATCTTCCTAGCCACATTCCACTCTTTTCTACTCAAAAAGGTTGTTTCTGAGGCATTGATGAGCACACCTCCTTTGGAAGAGAGGGACAAGTCTGTTTACTACAGCAGGAGTTCTGTAGTGCTAATGGTCATGCTGCCAGTAAGGTGTCTACAGAGAAAAGATGCTCAGGCCAGTTCTGTATGGAAAGAAATTGTAATTGCATTTTTTTGTTATGTAAAACTGTCCATGTGACTTTTCACAGTGCTCTACAAATTGACATTTTTAAATGAAATCTAACCCAGGTTTTTTAATATGGGAATTTTTTTATATGTTTGGAATACAGCAAAAGTGTTGCAAAACCCCACCATCATTTTTTCTGTAGGTTAAAAAAAATGATGGTTGCATCCATACTGTGAACAAAGCTTTGTAGTGTTGAAATAAAACCCAAAAACTTGGTGTTGTAGAAGGCCTTGCCCTTAGGTTTCAGAAGTCAAGGTGGTGCTGCCTGGTTAGTATCTGAGGGCAGGACGTTGCTTAAGGTGCTCCATATTTCCCTTTGAAGTGCTCTAGGATCCCTCATTGCCACATTTGGAATTAATCAGAGTTGCTTGGAATGCGGACCAGAAATAAAAGACCAGAGTTACAAGTGACATGAGGGCTGGATGGAGATAGAATGCTGTTCCCTGGGCTTTAGATGGTTGTGACTGAGGGATTCCAGTCAAGTCAGGATTTACTGTCAACTGGCTTAAACTTCCTTTTTTTTTTTTTTGTTTTTTTAAACCAGTGAGTAAATAACTTGCATAACTAAGTGGTTTCAGGAGTATATCTGTGTTTAAACTCGAAGATGAGCTGCAGGAGAACCACTCTGTCATGCACCATGGTTTGCTCTTTAGACCGGTGTAGAAATTATATTTAATGCTCTGTTGAGACCTGAGTATGTCACTGAAAAATTATTCAGCCTTGTGATATTTTATTTTTAAGTAGTGTTGTCTCCTTTTCTAATTCCCACAGGTCAGAGTTTTCGGAACATAAGTAATCTGCAGGAGCTTGCGGAGGAAATCCTGTTTAATTTAGACTGTAAATCCTGGTCAAAACATACCAGTGACTGGGAAAGGTGTCATACTGGAGCAGGGTGGGATTTTGTAGATTTGCTGCTTGCCAGAGTGCTCAGAATGAGAATATTGAGTAGTATCAAGAGGGGCTGTTTCTCAGAGGTGCAGAGGTGAGGCTGGTGAGCGTTTGCAGCATTGAACCCAAGTGCCTGAACTAGCAGCTTGGACGCCTTGTACAATTTTGGGGAGTTTCTGAAAGGTGGTTCATCATGCCATGTAAAAGTTAGAATTCAAGCATTCAGATTTACTGCTGAAAAATGGAAGTTGTGCAAAGCGTTGGTGATGGTATGTACAATAGAAGGGAGTTACAAGCAGGAAAAACAAAAGTTCTGACTTTACTGTTTTGAAAATGGAAACTTTTTTCCATCTGGCTGGCAACTGCTGCACAGTGGAATGACAGCACTGTGTGTTAATCGTCTTGCTTGACTCTATTTGAAGCTTAATTTCCAGCTGTTGAAAATGCACAGCTCCACCTGCTTCCTCCAAAACTTGACACAGTGGGTATTTGCTTGAGTTTAGCATTGATTTTGTGTTGTTCCCCTCTCCCATTTGTATTTGTCTAGTAAGAGTCAAAGAATGGTTGGAGTTGGAAAGGAACTTTAAACGTCATCTAGGCCAACCCCGTGCAACGAACAAGGACATCTTCAACTAGACCAGGTTGCTCAGAGCCCCATCCAACCTGACCTTGAATCTTTCCAGGGTTGGGACATCCAGCACCTCTCAGGGCAACCTGTGCCAGTGTTTCATCATTGGCCCAAGTGAAGTTTTATAAAAAGCTTCTTCCTTATATGCGGCCTAAATTGACCCTCTTTTAATTTAAAGTCATTATGCCCTGTTGTATTATAACAGGCCCTGCTAAAAATTTTGTCTTCATCTTTCATGTACGCCCCCTTCAAGCACAGAAAGATTCTGTATTTTAAGCTTGAGCAGTCTGAATTGACTAGAGAATCTCTCTAGCTAAGCCAAAAGAGAGGCATTCAAATGTATAGATTGCATCAAGGGAGGTACTACTGTGTTTTCAGTAGGGTCTTAGTTCTGGGAAAGGCCAAACTGGCCTTTCCTTGCAATTTTCACCTTGCTGAGATGACAAAATTTGACATCCTCCTTCACAAATCCAACAGAAAAAAAAATAATTGGCTTTAGTGATCAAACTGCTAACTCCGGTTGGCCCCAATGACTTTTGGTCAAAAAATACAACTTAAATACAAACAGTATCAGTCTTAGACAGAGGTGTCATTTTTATGGAAAGGAGAATGAATAACTGGCTAACTTCATCAAATTGATGTTCTAAACTTGTGTGAGTTTAGCATTTAATACTTCTATTGTTTTTTTTTTCCTTAATGTGCTTGTTTGGATAAAGGCAGAAATCTGATCTCAATTTTCTTGTTAGTTTTTTTAAACCTTATCTAAATCTTTGCTGTGTCACTGGGATCAGCTTTGTACAGACACAAAACCAAATCTGAGTATTTTGTGGGACAATGTGTGTCCCCTGAGGCTGTAATCACTGAGCATATAGGAAGGTGAGTAATCCCAATGATAAGAAAGAGTAAAACCTTACACAGCACACAACAAACAGCGCTGAAATCAGGTTGATGGTGTGATAAAAACTTGAAGTACAGGATTAAGTATTAGAGAGAAGGAGAGAAATGAAGGAAAGGCAAAACTTTTCAGCGGCACTTTAAGGGTAGAGGGAGTAGCGATGATATCATTATTAATTAAGATTGTTTTTGAGTGTGGATAATTGCAGGACATGTTGTTTTGGCCTTTTGTGTTTTATGAAGCTTGTGAAAACTGTCTCTGCCAGAAGGCTGTCAGAAAGTTGGATGCTGTTGTTGAGTGGAGCCACCTTCAGAAGTGCTGAGCTCCCATCAGCGTCCTGCGCAGTCTGGCGGGTGGTTAGTAGCTTGGAAAATCAGATTCATGGGTCTAAATATGGATCTAGAAACTTCATTTTAGGTGCCTGTTTTTGAAAACCATACCCTAATTTTGTATATATTTTATATTGCAGCTGAATTAATGAGCTGAAAAGTTCTTGGACACAGATGCATGGTTTACTGAAATATAAGAAAACCAGAGAGATGATTTTCCCTCCCAAATTATATAAGGCTACGTGGAGTTTACTGTTGAAAAACTGGAGCTACATTGTATCAGTCCCAGATATAACTGCTTACTGATCACTGAGTAAACACTTTCAGATGCTCGTTTTTCATCTTGCAAAAATCTTACCCAAGCAGACGTCATAGTGTAAGCTTTCCATAGCAAAGGCAACTGAAGGATGAGCTGAAAATATATGTATATATATTAAATATAAATATATATATGTGGATATATATATATATTTAAAAAAAAATGTAAAGGTCCCCCACATTTCTGCCTTTATCAGCAAAACTGAGGAAATCAAACCTGACTGTATGTCTGTATGTGGCTCTGACCATTCAAACTGATGCTGTATTTTTGTGAAAATGTGATGTTTCGGTTAGACCTCTCCTGTGCTGACCTGAGGACACTGCTGGATGTACTGGATGCCCATCTGCAGATGAGCTACCAAGGGGCGTCTTTGATGTCTGAAGACAAGTGTAAGAACAGGAGGTCACAGAGGAGGTACATACACCTGTGCCCAAACAGTTTTTGACCAGAAAATACAACTTCCTTGAACTGAGCAAGTGCACAACATTTATTTACCTTGGCACACGATCTTGACCTTGAATGTCAGTTACTGCATCTGAAATGGCATCAACTGAAAGGTGATTGTAACTTTTTGTGCCAACAATAGATGGAGCCACATGGAAATAAAGTGAAGGGCTTTGCCTTCCACAGGTGCTCAGGCCAAATAGGAGCAGCTGCACAGAAATCAGGAGGAAAGAGCCTGGTTTTACACTAGATTGTTGGAAGAGAAGAGGCCTGAGAAGCTGTGTGCAGAGCTGAAGGTGCACTATTCTTCTCCGGGACTCCTGTTGACCAGGAGTACCTGGTTTTTCGGAGGGAGGCATTTTTAAGAGTACCTTCAAGCATTTACACAGACTCTTTCCTATTCAATCATAGATTCACAGAGTATTGAGAGTTGGAAGGGACCCCTAAGGATTATTGAGTCCAGCTCTTAATATTTGGATATCATTTGTCCACATTAAAATCTAGAGTTATGTTCCTGGTGCTCAGGGCAGCCCTTGTAGCAAAGCCTGATTTTGCAGTTAGAGAATAACCAGGCTGGAAGGGCCTTCTTTGGCTTTTAAATCCAGAATTTTTTAATCTCTTTTTCTTGCTCAACTGCAGCATCTCCCTTATGTTCATGCAGGTTTGTGTTTGCAGTATTATTTTTAATGATTTGATTTACTTTGTCAAACTAATATTTTCTTTTGAAAAACATACTGGCAAGGTCTGAAATGAAGCAGCTATGAACAGATCAACTATGAACAGTGCATTAAAGGAAAGTTTAAGACCAAGAGCCAGTTAGAGCCATACCCCTGCAGAGAGGAACTGTGGTCCACATAAAGCTGGCAGTCACAGGAAGAGTATGAATATCAGCAGGCAAGACCATCCAAAATCCTGAAGTTTTGCTCTACTGGAAATAGAGACAAACAGGTAGAGCTACTTCTGGAGAAGAGACCCAGTGAGGGAGTACTAAAAAAGACACCCTGCAAGCCCAACATCTCAAGGTTTGTTCTTGCTCCACAGCTGAAGCCATTAGACAGCAAGCAGATGCTCACAGGCACACACAGATATTGGAGGCTTCTCCACATTTTACAGACTCCTCAGAACTTTGCAAGTTCCCTCTTTCTCCTTCCACCTCTTCGCACCAGCTCTTTGCACTGTGGCAGGCTGTGTGGGAGCAACAGGGAGATAA